TGCTAAGGTCTGCCGATCTCTGAAACCGACTAGCAGTGCTTCAAACACCCAACATTCCGCTGCTGTGCTCGCTACTTTAGCTGGGGACTTCACCCTCATGCCTCGATAAATTAGTGCTTAGCTCTAAGATCAATGGTACTGCAGTTAGTGCACTGATTGACACTGGTAGCTCAGAGACCTTTATTCATAAGAATATTGCCGAGCAGTGGGTTACTCTTCTATCCTGACAATGGGACAGTTTCTATAGGGGGAATTTTCTTCAAAATTCCTGGGTAGTTCTGTAGACCTAGAACTGCAAGGAGAAACTTACCATGGTGTGAATCTCAGTGTTACCCGATTTGTGTGCTGATGTGATTCTGGGCCATAAATTTTTTCGAAATCATTCCGTGCTCGAGATGGCTTCTGGAGGAGAAAAGAAATCGTTTTCTGAGACGATCCGTTTCCCCTTAGAATATGTGGATTAGCTGCTGTCACAGTTCCGGCTCCATCCCTCTTCAGTAATTTAGAACCAGACTGCATGCCGATTGCTGTAAAATCCAGACGCTATTCTGAGGCTGACAAGTTGTTTATTGAATTGAGACCACACGGATGCTGCGTGAAGTGATAATTTGATTCAGTAATTCTCCATGGAGAGCCCAGGTATCAGTAACTAAGGGAGAACATCACAAGAAAAGAATAGTTGTAGATTATTCACAAACAATTAACTGATTCACGGGGCTGGATGCCTACCCCTTACCACCTATAGGTGAGATTGCGAATAACGTTGCTAGGTTTAAAGTATACAGCACGCTAGACTTAAGAAGTGCTTACTATCAAGTGGGTCTAACAGAGAAAGAAAAGCCCAACACAGCCTTTGAAGCTTGTGGGAAGTTTTTTGAATGTAATCGTATCCCTTTTGGGGTCACTAATGGAGTGGCCAGTTTTCAGAGAGTAATTGATGACATCCTCGAGAAAGGAGGAGTGGAGGGCACCTTTGTTTATGAAGATGATTAATTTGTTATTTTTTTGTAGGGATATTCCAGTGTGGGCCGTAGATGGTGTGTGTGTGTGTGTGTGTGTGTGTGTGTGTGTGTGTGTGTGTAATTACCTAAGTGTAGTTACAGGATGAGAGCTACGCTCGTGGTGTCCCGTCTTCCCAGCACTCTGTCATACAACGCTTTGAAACTACTGACGGTCTTGGCCTCCACCACCTTCTCACTTAACTTGTTCCAACCGTGTGTGTGTGTGTGTGTGTGTGTGTGGAGATTCTGAGGAAGACCATGATAAAAATCTGAAACATTTTATGGACGTTGCAGAAAATATAACCTGACCCTGAATCTTGAAAAGTAGTTTTTGACTCCGGTCTATGACGCCATTGGGATACTTTATACAAGAAGGAGAAATTAGACCTGACCCGGAACGCCTCGAGACACTGTTAAAGCTTCCACTACCAAGCAACACAGGTTCTTTTCGTAGATCGATGGGAATGCTTGCACATTACTCCCGTTGGATGCTGGGGTTTTCTGAGACGATCCGTTCCTTTTCTCTCTCATGCAAATGGGTGTTTCCTTATCAGCTGCCACTGTAAAAGCATTTGAAGGATTGAAACAAGACATTACCGAGTGTGTGGTTCGAGGAATCGACCCAACAGCTCCTTTCGCTGTTGAAACCGATGCTTCAGATCATGCTATTGCAGCTACTCTAACCCAGAATGAACCAGTGGCTTTCTTCTCCCGAGCACTTTCAAATAGTGAACAAAGGCATTCATCAGTGGAGAAGGAAGCGTATGCCATTGTTGAAGCCCTAAGGAAGTGGCGACACTATCTCATTGGACGCCATTTTCGTCTTGTGACTGACCAGCGTAGTGTTGCTTTTATGTTTAACTCTAAATCAGCTGATAAGATTAAAAATGATAAAATTGCTAGATGGTGAGTCGAACTCTCCTGTTACCACTATGACACTGTATATCGCCCAGGTAAACAAAACATACCCGCGGATGCTTTCTCACGTGTATGTGGTGACACCAGTGAACTTAAGGAATTACATGACAATCTGTGTCACCCTGGAGTGTCTCGTATGGCTCATTTTGTCTGATGTCGAAATCTGCCTTATTCTGTGGCGGAAGTGAAGAAGATGACGAACTCTTGCTCTACATGCTCTGAACTTGAACCTCGGTTTTGCAAGTTTGACTCTGGGCATTTGATTAAAGTTATTCAGCCTTTTGAAAGACTCGGCATAGATTTTAAAGGACCACTTCCATCACATTCAAGAAATAAATATACTTACTGTTATAGATGAATTTTCTAGATTCCCTTTAGGGGCCTCGTAGCCTGGTGGATAGCGCGCAGGACTCGTAATTCTGTGGCGCGGGTTCGATTCCCGCACGAGGCAGAAACAAATGGGCAAAAGTTTCTTTCACCCTGAATGCCCCTGTTACCTAGCAGTAAATAGGTACCTGGGAGTTAGTCAGCTGTCACGGGCTGCTTCCTGGGGGCCGCGGGGACACTAAAAAGCCCCGAAATCATCTCAAGATAACCCTCAAGATAGCAAAGGTCCTGTCTTCCTGAAGTGTCAGGTGCGGTAAAGCAAAAATGATCCTCTAGTTGACGAGGTTAAAGTCGAAGATGTGAATCCGGAATACGCCCATGTCATGTTCCCAGATGGCAGAATTACTATTCTATCCTTAAGACAACTCTCAACCATGGCCTCAGATGGCTGCGAGAGGTTGGACTCCAATCTTCGCTTTCAACAGTAACACCCAGTGAGTGTGAAAGCTGGGGTAAACCCCAACCCGCCTCGTCCTGAACCACCACATCTTCAATTACTTCATCCCAAACCACTAACAAAGAAACACCTAACTGGGAACCAATCTCTGAAGTAACATTCCCGCGAGGAAACAGTATGCAGGAACCAACTGGAACACCAGATCCCTCAACATCACAGGAGTCCCTTCGACGACCTGGAAGGACCCCTACTCACCTGCAGTACCCCTATGCACCTTCGGGACAATGTTACTTAAATGCTAGACGGGGTAAATGTAGTAAAGGTATTGTACCTATCGTACCTGGCTGGAGTTTTTGTTGTACCTATCGTACCTGGATGGAGTTTTTGTTGTACCTATCGTACCTGGCTGGAGTTTTTGTTGTACCTATCGTACCTGGCTGGAGTTTTTGTTGTACCTATCGTACCTGGCTGGAGTTTTTGTTGTACCTATCGTACCTGGCTGGAGTTTTTGTTGTACCTATCGTACCTGGCTGGAGTTTTTGTTGTACCTATCGTACCTGGCTGGAGTTATTGTTGTACCTATCGTACCTGGCTGGAGTTTTTGTTGTACCTATCGTACCTGGCTGGAGGTTTTGTTGTACCTATCGTACCTGGCTGGAGTTATTGTTGTACCGGATGGATGCTCGCTTGACTGTTATTGTTTAGGTGACCGGCAGATCAGCAGTGACTCACATGTATACAGGTCGGTGTAATGTACATTCTGATTTTCTGTTTGTTCTAGCATTAGTTCATATGCATTTTCCTTATTGTTACAGTGATTAGAAAGCGATTAAGCAGTCCACGTGGCGCAGTGGTAAAGCACTCACTTGGTGCTCGTGAACGCTTTGGCCTGGGTTCGTATACTGGCCGGGGGGGGGGGGGGCAGGGATTGACTGGGTGCCAATCCTTAACTGCAGCCTCTGTTCACCCAGAAGTGAATGGGTACCTGGTTGTTAAACAATTTAGCGGGTCGTATTCCGGGGGAAAATTAGGATTAAGGACTTGCCCAAAACACTGCGTGCTGGTGTCTTTACAAGAATGTAAAAACTCTTGTATATATAAATATAATAATATAATAATATAACAAACTGTATATATATATATGTGTGTGTTTGTATATTATATGGGTTGGTATTATTGCTGGATGTAACTGTACTGCAATTATTTGATCAATAAAGCCACAAGTCTGGCAATGCGTTTGTTTACCTCGTCTGAACTGTTGGGTCATCTGTAATTAGGAAAAATACCTTTCAAAACGGAAATGAAGAAAAAGCACGTGTTGAGAACTATGCCTCTTCAATGGAAGCAGAGCTAACTGCCATTGTTATGACGTCAAGGTTCCTTGAACGAAACACTGCCGGTGCAGTGATCTGCACCGATTCAAAAGCAGCACTGCAAAGCCTCAGTAAAAAACAGGCAGAAAATCTTGCAATAGTCGCTGAAATTAAGAGAGCTGTGAGAGTACTAACTAATCAGGGAAGAGTGGTCAAATTCCTGTGGATCCCCTCCCATGTTGGGGCTCCCCTCCCATGTTGGAATATGTGGGAGTGAACGAGCAGATGTGCTGGCTGCTGAAGGCGCTGAAGGAGACCATATTAAATACTTCATACCCAAAACTCTTCTTCAAGTTAGAGATATTATCAGGCAACATCACCGTGACAAGGTAACTGATGAAAGGAGGATGGAAGAACAAATCGGTCAATCTGTACGATGGTACAACATGGTTGCAGCTGGCAATCCCAATCATTATGGACGGAGAGGAGGAGGTCACGGGAGAGAATCATTAATAACATGAATTCGCCACAGATACAAATATCCATCGAGATTCGGGATAGAAACAACAGCTGAGAAGCGAAGCTGTAAAATCTCTGGTGAGAGTGACGGACACCGCCTTCACCACTACCTGAGAGAATATGAAAATCTGAGAGGCATTAGAAATATGGGCAGCATAGTAAACTCCACATTGAGTTAGGAAAACACTATTTATCAAATATAAATATAATGTTCCTAAAAAGATTCCTCCATTTGGGACCAGCAAAATAACATAAATTTTAGAAGCAAATGTTAATCTACTTGTTCCCCACTTCTCAGTGTATATACACTGAGAGACGTACACCGCTTGTCGGTGTATATACACTGAGAGGTGTACTCAGCTTCTCGGTGTATATGAACTGACCATTTGCATAATTCCTGGACAACATAAATAATAGAAAAATATTCATGCACACAAAATAAAAAATAATGTTTGAGAAGCTCACGATTGATGGGTGTATGAGGCGCAGCGGCAGGAGGGTGGGCAGGCGGGGAGGCCAGATATTGGGTCCCTGATGAGGCGTCTAGCGTGGCGGGGCGGCTGGTGGCGCGGCAGCCAGTGTCGGCAGCTGATGGGGGCAGGGTCATGGCTGCCAATTGCAGGGTATCACCCACAGTTTCGTGAAAAGCGGAGTTGACGCCATCCTGTAAGTGATACATCATAATGGTGATACACACACACACACACACACACAGTAGGCTCAGGGATCTGTAAATCAGTTAATTGACGGTTGAGAGGAGGGACCAAAGAGCCAGAGATCAACCCCCGCAAGCACAACTAGGTGAATTCACACACACACACACACACACACTCACACTCACACTCACACTCACTCACACTCACACTCGCACTCGCACTCGCACTCGCACTCACACACACACATACGGTGTATAGTAGGTCACTGGAGACGGGAGACCTACCAGAAATATGGAAGACTGCTAATGTGGTCCCAATATACAAAAATAGAAGTGGCCTCTTCTCAGGAAGCATCTAGATGTACTAGCCGTGTACTGACAGAGAGAAAAAGAGCAGTAGTAGTAGCAGGCATTAGGGAGCAAACAGGGACCAGCCCAGCAGAGAAGAGAGACAAGGACAAAAACGCAGTTACTGAGATCCTTAAAGAGGTAAGGATGAAGAGGGCTGAAGCCTGACCAGAATATCGAAAAGGTTTTCAGTCTTGGAAAATACAACAAGGACAGAGACCAATTGATAAAGGTGGTATTCATGAGCGAGAACACAAAATAGGACCTGTTAGCAAAGAAGAGCGGACTAGCCACTGTACCGATGTTCAGAGTATTCCTGCAGAGGGATATGACAAGGGACGAGCGAATGAGGGCAACAGATGCGAGAAATGAGCCCAGGGAGAAAGGAAGGAGTCAGGGAATCACAACCCCAAACCCTACAATCCCAGAGGGGAGTGGGGAACCTTCCAGAAGAAGTTAAACAGCCACAGTTGTTGAACTTCAACAGCTCCAACACCCACCCTCCACTTCTGCTACCCAAGGCCCCCCCTTCCCCCTCATCCCCCCAAGCCCTCCCTCTCCCTGTACCCCCAAGCCTCTCCATCTCACCCTCCCCAAGCCTTCCCCCTCTCACCCCCCCCTACCATCCCCCTCTCACCCTCCCCCCCCCATGCCCTCTTTTCTCCCCCCCCCCCCCAAGCCCCCTCTCCTTCACCATCCTCCCTGTACCAAATCCTCCCAGCCCCTGCACACCCCAGATCCCCCAGGTCCCCCTCCTTAGGTCCTTCCATCCCGAACCCTCCCTGTTTCTCTGCTTCAGGGAAATCAACAGAAACTGAGGAAGGACAGAAGAGAGTCAGTTGCAGGGTGTTGTACTCGAACATAGATGGAATTACAAGCAAGGTAAGTGAACTAAGGGAAAGAGCACAAGAAGTGAACCTAGATATAATTGGACTCACAGAAACAAACTCTCAGGAATCATAACGAATGCGGTGTTTCCCCAGGACTACACAGTTATAAGGAAAGATAGGGAAGGAAGGGGTGGAGGCAGAGTGGCCCTACTAATGAGAAAGGAATGGAGTTTCAAGGAGATGGCTATCCCGTGCTGTGAGGGAATCAAAGACTATATAACATCCACCATGGGAGGACCAAGAATAGTAGTAGCAGTGATATATAACCCTCCACCCAATGACAGAAGACCCAGGCAAGAGAGTGACAACAATAAAAACATGGCAGTTAACACTATAATTGAGAAGGCAGCCTCTGCTGCCTGTAGAAATAGATCCCATCTGCTCATCATCGGGGACTTCAATCATGGAAGGATAGACTGGGAGAACAAGGAACCACATGGAGCTGAGGATACATGGAGAGCTAAACTATTGGAGGTGGCAACAAGAAACTTCTTAAGCCAGCATGTCAGGGAACCCACAAGGATGAGAGGATACGATGAACCAGGGAGACTTGACCGAGTCATCACTCTGAACAACTCTGACATAAGGGATATCGGTTTCGATGCCCCGGTAGGAATGAGCGACCACAGTGTACCGACGTTTGAGAATCTGGTTGAGGAAGGATTAAGGAACTTGAGGAGGAGAACTGAAAACAAAAGGCTAGCTTTCTGAAAGGGAAACTATGAGGAGATAAGGAAATTCCTAACAGATATAACATGGGAGACAGAGCTGAGAGGAAAGATGGCCCTAGACATGATCTACATCACGCAGAAGTGTAAGGAGGCAGCAGACAAATTTGTCCCGGTCCAAGAGGAAAGCAACAAAATGCAGATGAGAAACCCATGGTTTAACCAGAGATGTAAGCTAGCTAAGCAGCAAAGTAAAAAGGTATGGAGAAACTATAGGAATAACAGGACACTCGAGAGCAGAGAAAGATACCAGAGTGCTAGGAATGAATATGTCAGGTTGAGAAGAGAGGCAGAAGGGTAATACGAAAGTGACATCACAAGCAAGGCAAAGACAACCTAAATTGCTACACAACCACATCAGGAGAAAAACAACAGTAAAGGAACAGGTAAAGGCAGACAGATTCACTAGAAACGACAAGGAAGTGTGTGAGGAACTGAATAAGAAATTCCAGGAGGTCTTCACAATAGAGCAAGGGGAAATTACAGAGATAAGAGAGGGAATAGTTAACCATGAACCACTAGAAGAGTTTGAGATTACCAGTGGGAATATAAGGAATCTCTTGCATCCACCTCTTTGTCACATCCACCTCTTGCTAAAGGTGGATGTGACAAAGGCTATAGGCCTGGATGAAATCTCCCCATAGATACTAAAGGAAGGAGCAGAAGCTCTGTGCCTGCCATTCTCCATAGTGTATAACAAATCACTGGTAACAGGGCTAAAACTTGCCAAAAATTTAGAAGACTACTAACGTAGTCCCGATATACAAGGGGGATAGATAGGAAGCACTGAACTACAGGCCAGTGTCCCTAACTTGCATACCATGCAAGCTGATGGAGAAGATTGTGCAAAAAAAGCTCGTGGATCATCTGGAGGGAAAGAACTTTGTAACACAGCATCAACATGGGTTCAGGGATGGCAAGTCCTGCCTCACAGGATTAATTGAATTCTATGACCAGGCAACAAAATTCAGGCAAGAAAGAGAGGGGTGGGCAGACTGCATATTAAAGCAGTACATCCCTCAAAGCGGCACCGTTATGGACTGAAGTTTTTCGTGCTGTGCGACTGAGATTCGTATTGTCCTGGACATGATCTTGTATTCTGGTACAGACGTCGACATACCAGCTCAGGATGAACACGGGTATCCGGCAGTGTCGTAAAAACCCTGATGGAACCGTTGCTGAACAGGGGGCATATACTGTTCACCAACAACTATTACACCAGCCCCCTGTTGACTAGATACCTCCTTGCCCACAACACCGGCGTATGTGGCACTATGAAGGTCCTGAGGAAGGAAATGCCAGTGTTCGGTATAGGTATATCCGTGGGTGAGTGCCAGCTGCGCAAGTGTGTCAATATGCTGTCAATGCGGTGGAAGGACAGACGCGAGGTGAATATGCTGACAACGATTCATACCAGTGCCATGTTGGACAGTGGGAAGGTTCAATTTCAGACGCGCAACCCCCATGTATAAGCCGGACTGTCATAGACTATAACGTGAACGTGCGCCTCGTCGATAAATGTGACATGATGCTTGGTGGTGTGGAGTGCGTGCGCAGGTCTGTGAAGTGGACGAAAAAGTTCTTCTTCCACCTCGTGAATGTTGCAGCGCTCAACTGCTTCAATATGTACCTTGTAAAGTCCAGCAGGAAACCGTCTATACGGACCTTCAGTGCCAGCATTGTGTCACAGCTGCTGGTAAAGTATGATAAGCAGGGCTCCGTAGTACCACGCTGGGTGGAAGCAACAATGCCACACGCAGCTCCAGACAGACTGCGGGGTAATGAGACCTTCGGGGTACACATGCTGGAGTATATGCCAGGCACAGCATCACGGGAGAAGGGTAAACGTGCATGCATAGTATGCACGAACACTACCCGCAGAGAACAAAAGCGAAGATGCATCAGCACCTGGTGCGTGGAGTGCCAGGTGCCACTCTTGCCCCGTTGGCTGTTTCGCAGCATATCACACACTCGCGGAGTACTGAGTGTGTGTATATAGTGTGTGATACTGAACAGTGTGTATATTTAATGTAAATATAAATATATTGGCATGATAAATTGGAAATAATTGCAGGATAAGTGTACTTGTTTGTGATGCACGTAACAGTGTCTGCGGGTAGTACGGATGTTCTACTGCCATAATATAGCGTACGTGTTCACCATACATTGGATCGGCATGTAAAATATAATAAATTGTATTTGGAACTGTGCGCAAAAAATGAACAAAAATATATTCGCGGCAGCGCGTGCATCCCGCTCCGGGCGCCCTACTGGCCCCGGGAGCTTACGCCACAGCCGCACGGGGAATGATGAGGTCACGCACCACCTTATAGACCCCATAGCAGCCAAAGTAAGTACAATTTCGACATTTCGTTGCTATACCCATATTCAGGGAGGGATTTTCAACACTTTCAGAAGAAAAAAAAAAAATTTTTCCTGAGAATTTATTTCCTATGCCCTGGGGGGGGGGGTCACATTTGGAGGCCGCGCAGTTAAGGGGTTAAGTAATATTATCTTTGAAGAAACAGTGGTATGGTCAGATAATGAGGTAGTACTACAGTGGATGAGAAATAACAATAGTAAAACTCCTGACATGAGTAACCACGTTAAAGAAATATCAGCAGGGTACAAGTTAGAGTTATCAGCAGGGTACAAACCGAGATATGTACCCACCAAGGAGAATCCTTCCCTGAAACGCTAAGTGTACTAGTGGCTTTAGATAGTGCATGTACTAGCTCTATCTATAAATCCAACATTATGTTTGTAACTAATCCTCTAAGTATGTACTTTTACCTGAATAAACATTTGATTTGATTTGAATCCAGATGACTCTCTCTCCCGAGGCCTGACTTTACGGCAATTAACCAAAGCAGAGATGTGGTTAAATGGACCTCAGTGGCTAGTCAGCGACCAGTGGCCTGAACCAAAGCCACAAGTCATTGTGATCAATGTCACTGTTCCCACTGAGAAACTAGAACCACCTCGGACTTTGGTAATTGATCCTAATCAGTACTCTGAACTGAATACACTACTAGGTGTCATC